GAACCTTGGCCTGCTTGTATGTTTTTTCAGTGCCATTTTCTGTCAATATAACCAACGCTCGCGAAAAAAATTGTTTGTCGTGTGTAAGAGTTGGCTTATTCAGGTGTGGAACTTGTTGGAGGATGTGAGTTTATTCGACCGTCCAGCCGACCATAATGATCAACACGATGCCCACGCCCATCTAGCTAAAATGATCTCGCTTTTCGGAAACCCCCCACTCTTATTTATACAAAGAGAGAGGATGTGTCGTGAGCATAAATTAAAAGGGCGTATCGTCGACAGGGAGGGTAAAGAGTGCTTCAATATGAATACACGTTCACATGCTCCAAGAGGAGAAAAACAGACAAGAAGCTATTGATGTATCCTTTCTTCTATCCTTCCTATAGGGGCCTTTTTGAGGCATGGCATATGTAAGGTATACAGCTAACCATATATTTGACTGCTCTCGCATAAACAAAGCCATACGTTCGATTTGCTATAATAATTTCGTTGTGATTTACAAGTATCGTTTTTAAATAAAATATCACTAATAAACTCCATCTAACTTGATTGCAACCATAACATTTTGATATGCGTGTCGATTTCGGCGTCTAGGCTAGGTTCTGCGCTCACAGCGTTCAATGTCGAATACCCTTAAGAGTCGTCAGGAGATGCACCCAACATGCAAGACACAGGCTCCCGGCATGTCACGCAGCATTTCGTTGTCACACATCGAGCAGGCAGCCGTTCCAGGCCAAATGGCCACCATTTCATGCGCTCGTGAAACGGGCTGTGAACCAACCAAGCTGCATAGCGTTCCACCGAAACCTCAACGTCACCTACACCTACATGCGCCTACAGCTAGATTGGCATGTGTAAGACAACTATAACATTATCACGCATTAATTGGGGAAAGGCGCGTAAGTGAATGAGGGGCCGGGTATGTTTCGTCGTATCTTGTGAACCAAGGTTTGTGAAAATCTCGCACTAAAAGTATACCTAAGAGTGCGTCCACTCGGCCTTCTTCTTCTCCGCAAACGCCTTCATGCCGATCTTCTGATCCTGGCTGCCGAACACGCTGTGGAACACACGCCTCTCATACTCGACACCGTCCCGGAGGGGCAGGTCCTGGCTCTTGTTGACCACCTCCTTGCAAGCCTGGACAGCCACCTGGGAGTACCCAGCAATGGTCTCGGCCGTCTTGAGCGTCTCCTCCATCAGCGCCTCGTACGAAGGGAACACCCGCGCCGCAACCCCCCACTTCTCAGCCTCGACACCGGAGAAAGACTTTCCGGTAAGGATCAGCTCCATGGCCTTGGCCTTGCCAATGGCGCGGGTGAGTCGCTGGCTGCCACCGGCACCGGGGAGAGTGCCCAGCTTGATCTCCGGCTGGCCAAAGTTTGCGGTCTCGGTGCAGTAGATCAGGTCGCACATCATGGCGAGCTCGCACCCGCCGCCAAGAGCATGCCCGGAGACGGCGGCGATGATGGGCTTCTTGACCAAGGTGGTAAGTGATGACCAGCTCTCAATGAAGGACTTCGTGTAGGCTTCAGCAAATGTGAGTGGTGCCATCTCCTTGATATCGGCACCGGCCGCGAAGGCCTTCTGGGAGCCTGTGAGGATGATGACCGATGTGTCACTCGACGCATTGAGGTCTGCAAGTGCCTCGTTCAATTCATTGATGAGCGGCGTGCAGAGAGCATTGAGAGCCTTGGGTCGGTTTAGTGTGACTGCATGATTATGGGTAAGAAAACAATGTTGCATCAAGGTGGGTGTTGGGAGGGCTGGTGTGAGCTACCTTGACCAACTCCTGGCTTTGGCTGGGAAATCTGGATGAACTCATAACTCTTGGAGCTGTAGGCGCGTGCCATTATAGGGAGAGTAGACCGTTGGAATGGGACTCGGTGGGCAATTGGCCTCAAACATCGCAGAGAGTTCATCATGATGGAAAATGGGCAGATATAGACACGAGAATGGACAAGGGAGGGGAAGGAGGAGATGACAGAGTAGGTTTTATCGAATTGCGGAGCAAAGGGAGATGCAATTGGACCAGGCGTTCACGAGCACGTTTCGGTAGCCAAAACCTGAGGCTATTGCGGAATGTTAAAAGCTGGGTCGTTGGCTTGTGATTTAAACCGACTGAGAGAAGCTCAGTTGATCGCTTGAGCTCGGCTAGTGACGCAACTGAGCTTCTTTCTTAACCCGAGGGTAATGGCATCCAGCCTGGCTCTCTTGGCCTGATTGGCCGGGTAGAACGGTTAATGCGGGGCCCCGCCCAAATCGTCTTTCGAGGTTTGGCAGAGGCTCTAAGCATCTGTCATGCTACCGGCCCGTCGGTAGTTGCGGTGACGAGATGGAATAACTACTAACACGCAGGTCGTTCTAAATGGAAGACTGGGTCTTCCTGCCACGTTGTAGTTCAGTTACTTTCTTCTTGGTGAAATAGTCTCCTTAATAATCACAAGCCACCCGCTCCGATGACGACCGGCCAGACAGACAGAGGTGGAAAACGCATTGTTCATCGCAGCCACTTTTGGGACATCTGCCATTCAGTGGTCAATGATTCAAACACATCACACACAGCTAGAGCCTCTCTCATCAGGGGCATCTTGTCCTCGGACGCTGTACCCTGTCTCAGGGCAGCGTTATGCGCAACATGCAGACTGTGGCTGAGCGCAAGACAGTGAGTGGACAAGGCCTCTCGGGTCCTGTAGGCTCATTTCGGTGGGGCTCCAAGTGCTGCAGCTGCTCAGGGGGCAGTGAGATGCAATAAATTAGTCCTGTCCAATTGGCCCCGGTTGGGTCGAATCCACTGGGAGCGTTCAAAGTGCAACACGTACACGCGAGTATCAGCGATAAGCTCTACGTGGCTTAACAGAAAATCGTGGCTGCCTCATCGCAAAAAGGGATTCCCTCACTGTCCGTCCACTTCCACCTCCCTGCAACGCAACTTATCGCGGCGACTTCTTCTTATACTCGCTTCTTAATCTCTCCTATCTCATTCTTTTACATATTTTACTCTTCTTCTTCGCCAAATTAATCATGGACGGAAAGGAGCCCGAGCAGACCCCTTTCGAGGCTGTCTCTGCGCACAGCAACCGCATTCAGCAGGTGTGTTTTTCAGTCGCGAGCGCCTCATCCGCCAGCGTACTAATAGGCGCCGTTTAGCGATTCCAAGCAATCCTGGATCAGTCCACCCCATTCGTCGCCTACCGATGGGCGAGCACTGGCTTCCTGCTGATCATCTTCGGCGCCCGCATCCTCGTCGCGCAGGGCTGGTACATCAGTACGTCGAACCTCCCATTCTATCCGCAGCCGACCTGAGATCGAACGCAGAGAACTAACTGCCACTATACAGTCGCGTACGCCCTTGCCATCTATCTCCTCAACCTGTTCCTGGCATTCCTGTCGCCCAAGATTGACCCCTCGAACGATGCGCTCGATAACGAGATGGAGGATGGTTCCGTGGGAACTCTCCCCACCAGGCAGGATGAGGAGTTCAGGCCCTTCATCCGCCGCCTTCCCGAGTTTCAATTCTGGTACTGGGCCACTCGCGCCATTTTCTTCAGCTTCGTCGCCGCCTGGATTCCCTTCTTCGACATCCCCGTGTTCTGGCCTGTCCTGGTCACCTACTGGATGGTCCTCTTCTTCCTTACTAGTATGTTGCCCCCCCTGGCAGGATTGCGGTCCTTGGCAACAGAATGCTAACCCGCCATGTAGTGCGTCAACAAATCCAGCACATGATCAAGTACCGCTATGTCCCCTTCTCCTTCGGCAAGAAGAAATACTCCAAGAACAGCTCGTAGTGCAGCCACTGGATTTGAAAGAATATGGTGTCTTGCGATTGGGTAGCCTCGAGGCCTTGAGAAATAGGCTGCGCGCGGCATGTAACAGTACTACCGACCACACCTACCGGTGTTGCATGGCTGGGATCTTGGGATTGGGAGTTATTTCCATTCATGAAATCGAATTATCAGGAGGAAGCAAATAGCACCGTCTGGATGGGTAACGACGATGTGTATCAACTATAGATGAGAGAGACTCGCGGAGATGGCTTGGTGGAAAAGTGAATTGCACATGATAGCCAGCCTCATAATGATAACCCAAATTATTCGACAAAAGATTTCTTGGACGGACGTGTGGTTTCCAAATGCCACTCGAAAGTGCTCACTTTCGCATCTATCGGCTACTGATCGCAAAAGGTGGGTTGTGTGGGGAGAATCCCCTCCTTGTCTATTAGATGTCAATGCCAATAATAGGACATCGTAAATCCTCCTACCACATATCTCTCCCTATGTCACCATATAAATCGAACACTGGTTGTTGCAATAACCATCGACAACAAATTCCTCCAGGAAGAGGGTTAGGCGACGAAGGGAGCAATGTTTGACCACTCCGTATCCTACTCTGCCCACTATGAGAACACACCCATTATACGTAGTGGGCGATTTGCCGGCTAGGAACAAAATCACGGATTTCTTGTTTGGATAATACTGTACTCCCGGGAAGTACAACCGCCTAGGCCAAAGTTAACTTCTCGTTAGCTATTGAAGGCACTGCTTGAGTTAGCACCAGGACCAACGGCAGCAAACGAAAAGACACATTCGATCCGGAGAGAGATGTTTGCTCAGATGGAGAAATGAAACTCCCTCCTGAGTGGAAGTCTAAACATCTTGAATTATTGTTCTTTAAAATATCAGGTCGTGTCATTGCTGGAGATGGCCACGATCTCAGGAATCCGCCCACTAATGGCCTTGCCAACACTCTGGAGCATTCGCTCGTTTCTAATACATGAACGGCGAGGCTTTACTCGTGGGCTTATTGGTGTAGAGGAGGCAACACGGCCCGTTTACTGACAGTGTTGCCTGAAAGATAAGGTGTCGAGCGTCATGTAGCAACAACACATAGCTCGTATTTTCCCTACCTACGTGCCGAAAGCACTCTCTTCGCCCTGATTTCACCTTCTCATCACTTATCATCACCACATCTCAAAACTTGCCTATTTCTCGGCTTTGTAACACATGTCTCCGGTTCAGAACTCTACATTCGCAACCTCGTCGAGCATGGACGATCACTCCAGATGGAAGGAAACAGAAGAGGTTTACTCCATTCTCTTGACGCGTGGAGAGGACCCAGAGTGGCGTACATCGCTCGAAAGCCTCCACTTCCAAAATCTGTACCTCGAGAAGGGGTTTTCCTTGTCTCTTCAGGAGATCAATAAAATTCGAAAATCGATTGTGGTGCGAGTGCTAAATACTCTAGTGAAAGATGGGGTAAACTTCTTATCTTGCTATACGTTTACGGAGAGAGTGAACCAGACTGTGTGGAGAAGAATCGGTCAGTAAGAAAGCTTGATAGCCATATTTGCTTGGTCCTAATTCTATCGCACCGTCTTCTTGTGTTTCAACTGCTAACCATAGCTTTGGCAACCCCAGTCTGGTATTATGGTTCACGCCTCCCAGCTCATCGCGGCTACCCCTGGCGGCCACGAATTCACAACGACTCCGATCCACGAGAGCTACTGTGTTCTCTGTGGAGAGTATGGCGAGGTCTCACGGTAGACCATGAGAACCAGCATTCCGAACCCAGGCTTCTGGATGAATCCACCAATCAACTCACGCAAAGAGCCAGACTAGCAATCGCAACAGCACCTGTTGAGGAAATCAACGGCGTTAGGTTTATAGATGAATACAAATTATCTCCAGAGACCCCTTACATCTTCAACATAGTCTCGGCCGTTGCTCCTCCTTTCGACATGTCCAAACCAGACCTCGACAGTGTGCTAATAAATTTGCAGAAGCCCATGCCTGCTGCCCGAGAAGACGGTGTCTCTGTCGAGTGTTGTGGGCCGGTTGGTGATTTTTTCAATCTTTTCCGATGTATTTTCTATTTGCGAACACTTCAAGTTGGGCTTGATCGTGCTTCATCAGAGTATCATCGACTGGGGGCCTGGAAACGGTTCGTTCGACCAGCCTTGGCAGAGAGAGATTATTTTATTACCCAAAATGATATTGAGGAATGGTCTATAAAAATCGACGGCTTTGGAAATACGGAGTCGATGATGAATTCGGATTTTATGGCAGCATTCTGGGCTTGTGAGGAGTTCCGTCTTTGCGATTCCGTGCTGGTACAAGACCTGGACACGCTTTTATTTCGCCGCGACTTGGAAATGGAAATACAATGCAATGCCCCTCTTCTGGACTGGGATGCATCAGAGGGGCCTCTTCAGATTGTTATCAACTCGCGCTTCAACATACCCGAAGAAAGCCTTCGGGAGTCCAAGGTACTCGTCAGCTCCGCTCGACCAGCTTTCTTAAGGGTACTTGCCAAGGTAGAAGGTGAACAGGACATACCATCACACCTCCGGCTTTCTACTGGCCTCATTGATCTTTCACGAGGTGTCTTGCCTACTGGCGGATCACAGGCAATGTACCACTTGGTAGTAGTGATTCCTCAAGGGGAGGATGGGCAGTGGGACCGGATCAGAAGATTCGACCCCGGTGGAGATTCGTTCTGTCTCCATGCTTCTTCAACATTGGGCATCTTGATTTATGCTTTCTTTGACGCAGGGTCTATGCCATATCTCGATCAACGAAGAAATCCTGACGTGCCTGAGCAGAAGGGGTCCTCGGACCCCTTTGGACAGAGCGCGGGGCCAAGCGTCTTTGCGCCGCCTAAAATTAAAATTAGGAACGATAAAGCAGGAAACTTTTTCATAGTTACGTCTACGTCAAGGCAAACTGCACCTGGGGGGTCATCAAACCCTGTGGAAGCTTCAGCTAAACGGGGTGGTGCTCACGCATCAGAATACCCAAACAAGAATCAAAAAGGGGAAAACGGATGGCGAGTAAGTCGTCGTCGGCGCGGATAACAATATCAAACTTCAGACTGCAGTATAAAGTGGAATTTCAATCACAACACCTACAGGGAATTCTATTAATATTTGAGATCCCAATTGGAGTGGTAGATGTGTTCAAGTTGGCTAGAGGTAGGAGGGTAGGAAAAGAAAACATTGTTCAAATATGCATATCAAGCTATTAAACCCATTGCCACCAAGGACTTCCTCGTTGCAGAAGAACAGTCACTTGCCTCTTCGCCAGAACATCATGAACAGATCCATTGAGGCCTTCTTTTCGGCCAGATAAAGATGATTTAATCGCACAAGGTTGACCTAGCTGTCTCCTCTTAGCGCCCCTTCATGGATACGTTACACAGCTGTCAGCTCCTGCGACAACTGTTTCGAAGGAAGCTAGGTGATCATAGCTACAAACCCAACTCAGCTGTCAGCCATGGCAACCAAGTATTTTCAGGGAGCTGACTTATGACTGTTGTCAGTGAGTGATCCATCGGATCTGCAGAAGCGGGGTGGAATAATAAACTTTAGTGGTCACTTACCAAGCATTGTACCAATCGTAAATCCTGCCAGGTATTAGACTCAAGTACATACTGACCGACTATTTTTAGCAGCCTCTATTCAGGTGCTGCCCTCTGTCATAAATTATTCAAATACCACCGATATTACCCCCTCCTCTTTTCTGCAGGCGTTTGTACTCTTTTCTTAGAAGCCAAATAATAATTCACCAAAATTACAACACCATGGCGGGTTTTTCTGATGCCCCAGCCGAAGTCATCGACAATATAGTAAGGTTCATTATACCAAGAGCCGATCTTGCGAACCTATGCCTCATCAATAAGGCACTTCACCGGTCTGCAGTGCCTTTTCTTTATTCTACTATTGAGATAATATGGGACCGAAGACATCCAACCCCCTCGATCATTCCTCTTATCCGTACTCTTGTTCAGAGTCCAGGGTTGATCATCTTCATAGATGAGATTCATCTATATGGAACCTACTTTCAAGATGTCGCAGAACGCCCATCCTTGAATATGACTAGCATTCCACTTGGCCAATTCATTGATATTATCAATAAGACTCGGGTGTCATATGCCGGCACCTGGATCGATAGTCTGAAGTCAGGCAGCATGGATGCATTTGCTGGTCTCCTGATTGCCAATCTTTCCAAGATAACCAGCCTAAAAATCGGCCATAACTTTATCAACGGGGACGATATTCTCGGCAACGTCCTTTTATCCAAAGTCTCTGGCGAGCTGCCTGTATTTGAGCGGCTTAAAAAGATGAGCTATATCAAGAGATTAGACCGTGAAGTTTGGGAGAGAAATCAGATCTTCGAATACGCAGCATCTCTCTTTTACATACCAACAGTCACAGATATGTCCGTGTCAATGACGAATCATCCATTTATGTGGCCAAGAGGAGATCCTGATCTCGACTGCCTGACTTCACTGCATATTGAGTGGGCTATTGGCTCAGTTGTGGCTGAAGTGCTTACCCTTACACCAAACCTGAAATCACTCTCCTGGCGCTGGATTTACCACGATAGTTGCAACGAAGAGCTGGAATTCAAGATTCTAGACTTCGACCAGATTGTTGAAGTGGTATCATTTGTCGAGGACACATTGGAAACGCTGGTCCTTTCTATGGGGGTTGGAGATGATGACTACGACAGGCTGCCTGTGGGGATGGATGTCCGGGGATCTTTCAGCGGTCTCTCCGAATTTGAACGACTTAAAGAACTATCTATACCTATGGTATGCCTTGCAGGCTTTGGGGCCGAGCCCATACCTCTGAAAGAATCTCTTCCGGATAGCTTGGAGGCTCTTCATCTCGGATGGCTAAGTTTGATTGATTTTGGAGTCAAACTCGAATGGATGGATAAGTATAACAGCCTGGATGATGCTGTTGGCCAAATGATGCAGTCTTTGGCTGAGACTCATCCAGGAATTCACTCTGTTACTTCTTCAGTTTCTCGAACGCGGTTAGAGCTCAGGACGGAACGATGTGCTCCAGGCTGCCATCATATTTAGCAAATGGATAATCAGATGCCGATGACTAGATACGGCTTTACTTACAGCTTGCTATTCTGATTCCATCAATTTATGCCAGGTGTATTGAAATAATTCACTCCAAATATATCAGTACAGACATGGCAATATCTTGCATTTTGGGATGAATTTATAGGTGTCTGTGGTATGGTTTCAAGATCGTCACGTACCTATCGGAGGCTAATTTGAAGTGCTGCTCGCAAACACGTCTGCAGCACCACATCTATTAAGACACAAGAAACCGAATACCGGCACAAATGCGCGAGAAAACATCATCTTCCACTTGATGTCAGTAAAGAAACCGTGCACCTTCAATGGCGGTCGATCGGCTCGGCATTTCCCTCTCACTAACCCCCGCAACCGAGCCTTAAAATCAATGGATCTTGACCCAAGTCCCGATTAGCAGGGAATGCTTCCCTTTTAGGCATTCTCTTACTCGCACTAGTGCTCAAGTAAGACGATTAGCCGGCCGTATGAGGTCTGCATACGAAACTACCTACATGTACCTAGGTACTTACTTACACCTGCCTCAAGGTGTTTTTGGTGACTTCTTCAACCCATTGAGAAGAGATACTTTTGGATAAGGCTGACCGATAAAGATATCGTGCACCTACCTCCTACCAGGCGGAGTCCAGATCTTTCGGAAAGCTGCCTTTTCAGCCTGACATAGGACAATCACAAAAGGTCCACTTCCTCTTCTTCGATTCACCTCATTTCGGGGTATCTACTTCCTTGCTAAGGAGCTTAATGTTCATCTAAAGTTTTTGGTGACAGAGAATAAACATTAGAGTTTCAATGGCCCACGCGATCACAGCAGGGTTCAATAGTACATACTCAGCCCGCTGGTTTCTTTGCTGTGAACTTCCTCTCCCTACCTCCAAGGTCAGACCAACAACACACCACTCTTTCTACTCAAAGCCCTGCAATATTTACTCTCCTCTCTAACCATATCGCAGTCAGTTCACTGGTAAGCCCTTGAGTGTGAAGTATAACCTCGTCCAGAAACCAACAGCTAATGCACCACAGAAGCAATTATGCCACTACTGCGAATGATGAGTGAGATGAGGGAGTATCTCCGCAGCGTGGATGCTGATGGCAATCGGATTGCTTTGCTCGAAGTTGCACGACAAGGATATAACATCCAGTCCAACATATTCCACATTCCGGATCAATTAGGCCTCTTCTCACAAAGATCGCCAGCTTTCTTAGTAGAAGAAGCGAAATTCTTTTGTTTTCATTTATATGTACACATCGGGTGGTTTGTCACTGGTGATCTCCCGCTATATTGTCTTAGCTATAACACCACATTCTTCACCGAAGCGGTGATTCTTGCATTAATGCATCTATTTACCGCCGTGGTATTTTGGTTTGCACTGGTTGTGCATCGCCACCAGCAGGAGAATATGTTGAAAAAGACGGAGTGAGTTGCTATGTTGACGGCAGTTTCATCTAAACAAAGCCTAGAGCACTGTTTGCCCTAGAATGATCCTACAAAGTGAAGTATTTCACTAGTTTTCATCAAACTTACTCGCCCCTTGCTCTTCGCTCCTGGAAGTTATGTCTAGCGAACAAGTGTTTCCGAGTGTCTGGTACCTGACCCGGATGTGAGGTAACTGTATGCACTATTTCAGTGACGTTATTCGAGCTGCGGCCAAAACTACCGAGGGAGATACGGCCGCTAAGACAGAACTCCCCGTTTATGTCAGGAACACGCTGGGAACTTCCGGGGTAGGTATTGTGATTTTCGATCCAGCAGGAAGTCTAGATATAAAGCCTAGGTAGATGCAATGCGAGTACAGTTGATTCAGAGCAAGCAAGCCAGGTCTCCTTAAGAAGCTTGCTCCCGTTCTCAAGAAGACAACAACTCCGCTGAAGAAGGCTTTCGCTGCTACCTCTAAGAAGGCCGTTGCTGCCACCAAGAAGACCCCAGCTAAGGCTGGTGCCAAGAAGAGTGCTTCTCCTAAGAAGAGTGTTTCTCCTAAGAAGAGCGCTGCCGGCAACAAGAAGTCTGTGGGCAATAAGAAGACTGCCAGTGCCAAGAAGGCTGGCGCCAAAAAGAACCTTGCTAAGGCTGGTTCTAAGAACGCCGCCGGTAGCAAGAAGGCTAGCTACCAGAAAGCTGTTGGCAACAAGAAGTCCGTTGATCAGACTGCGAAAAGTAAGGCACCAGCAAGCGCAAGCTGCTCTATCGGAAGGCGCGACGGCGACGGCGACGGCGGATCATGCACTCTCGGACCACTCGGTAGGTATAGAGAAGGACCAGAGTCTCGTGGAAGGGAAGAACGACGCAACGGTGAACAGCTCAGTCATCCAGAAGCCGAAGAAATCTGAACCTCTGGATGATGGCCAGCTTGCGAGCGTGGGCAAAGATGCCTGGCTCGAGATACAGGCGCAGCACAAGGCCGCCGGAGGAAAGGAGGAGGACATGCCGGACACTATGCACGTCTATCAAAACCACCCCGAACTCATCCTCTCGAACTCCCAAAAGAGCGGCCCTGATCTGACGACAGATAAGAAGAATAAATCAGGACGGGAAGTGCTCGGAACTTGCGAGAAGAAATGGGCTGGCGAGGGGAGAAAACATCCCGAACACAAACACGAGGCAGCCTGTGGCGAATATACGGGAATACACATCATGAGCCAGAAGCACGACGGAAAGAAGCCGGACGGGGAAACACAGATGGTTGCAGTTCACCGACCGAATGCGCAGGGCGAGGACAAGGGCAAGGAAAGGCCTGACGCGAAGAAAGAGGACATTGAAATCCAGCCACCTTGTGACGGTGTAAGCGAACCATCCTAGGCGGCAGTGAGACTCAGCTAACATTTTGACGAAAAGGAACCGAGAGATGGGAAGCCCGATGGCCGTAGGAATATCGGCGGTTGCGCGACCATGAAGCAGGTGACCGAGGCCCATGTCGTGCCTCATACCACAGAGGATAAAACCTATGACTTGAAGGACGCCAAAGTTGAATCACACCCACTGGGTCCCTACGAGGAAGATACCGAATTTACCGCACAGAGGGCAGAGAAGAAAGCCAATGAACAGGCTAATCAGGAGAGAAAAGCCCAGGAAGAGAAGGAGAAATTGGAGGCAGCAAAATTGAGGAAAAAGGAGGCAAATAAAGTAAAGAAAGCCCAAAAGAAGGCCGATGAGGCTAAAAAGGCTGCAGAGGCTGCAGAGTCTTGAAAGACCAAAGGGCGATGCTATGTCTATAAAGGGTAGAATTGTTGTGTATTTACATTGTTATTGTTACTATCTTGGGACATTAGAGGTCCTGCTTCGTTGATTGTTGATTTGTACATTAATTACGGTATAGATACTTGGGGGCAATACACTCTTATTCACTCTAAAATTGACGATTCTAGCGATGTTCAGCAGGTAGCTCAGGTTAATAGGGATAAGATGGTTGGACATATCATGTATGCTTAGGATTACGTTTAACTAGATCGATATTGATCCCCTGCTACTTGTTGCCAGCGAAAATTCCACGTGAATTACCCTCTATTCCGCGAGTTTACATCATGGAGAGAGGCATCTATACCCAAGGTTATAGTAGCTACCTAGGTATACAGGGTAAATCCCTTGGGTGGAACAGTGGTTCGTCGACATCTAAACCCAGTCGTGAAATGACGAAGGTAGACCCAATCTTTCATTACCTAGACGCCCTTGAATATCTAGGAACTATGAGATCTCAGCCTGGGGATCCTTTCTACCGGCTTAAAAGCCCACTTAAGCGTTGTTGAAGCTCATCTGGAGCTCCTCCCTCACAAAGGTTAGGCTTGTATACCAAGTCCAGAGAACTGATTCAAATGGACTATTGAAAAAAACAAGGATAAGAATAAATACGTAAGTTTTCTATGCCAGAGACACCAAGAATATCTCTATTTAGCGCCAATAATGGGAAGTGACGGAGGGTCTCGACATGAACAGCGTACCCTACATATAGACACGGGTGCGATTAAGATGGGGCTTTTTGCCAGAACTTGTGTTGGATTTTCGGTTGGGTGTATTGAACGTGTGAATTAGATGAAAGTGTTGTAAAAGCGGTTTGGGATCATGTATGGGTTCTTTTTCAAGATTCTGGTTGAAGGTAGGTATTCTTGGGAAACCATCCCCAGGTGTACATGGGCTGGGCAGTCACTTGGCTGCCAAATCTACCCAGGGCATGGTCGGCGCTATTCTGTTACATTGGACAGATTGGTAATGATTTTTATTCTATTCTCTGCAACTCATTGAATTTATGGTTACTGCAGTTGCTTTTTCTTCTCTTCACCTTGCAACTGGCGAGCGGGCTACGGTTCCTATTGGTACTGAGTGACTGAAGTGTGACAGTTGCCAGCTACCCGTAGACATCTGCCCCAGTACATTACCTCTAGGCAGATACTGGTACCTCTACAAACGTATGGCTCTCAAGTATTGCCGGGGCGACCGCTTATTATCGTCAATTCTTCAATCACATAGGGACCTAGTTAGCTTTCACACTTCGCACTTGTCAACCTACACTCTGCACTCCGGCAATCTACACTCTGCACTCCAAAGCTTCTACACACCCACCAAAGAGTTCACTTTTGTTTAGAGGCTGGTTCATCAATTGCAAGAAAAATGCCGCAAGAAAAGATAGACAAGCCTGCCAATGCTTCTTCAGAAACCCAGCCTGCTTCCGAACCTGAACCTACTTCTGAACCTCAACCTTCAATCTCTTTGAAGTTCACCAACGACTCTCTTCCCAACCCCACTGAATGGGAACATATCGTACTATCTTTCAGACCGAAGAAGCTGGAGACGATTATGAAGAGTGTGGGGAAGTCACACTCCGAGGAGACTCGTTCCCAGACCTGGTCCGTCTTGGGTGACGCGCTCTCCAACTCTCTGCTTTCCGCTCCAGCTGGCGTATACATGCAAATGACTGCCGCGCTTTTTGGAAAGGACTACTTTCTTTTCACCCGCCGAGGGAACAAGCGGGCTGACGGGACAGGAGGAATCCTCGAGGTCAGGATCAAGCAGAAACGTGAGGGCGGCGAGTGGGAGGCTCGCTGGAAGGAGGCACGCCCGCAAGTAACTAATTACGTGAAGAACTGTGAGTGGCTGCGGCACATTTTCTTTGCACGGCGTTTACTAATTAATATTAGTATTGGCTCGTAGTTCCCGGTTGCGTGAAGAGAAGAAGAGGCGGTCGGAACTGATGCGCAAGGAGGAGAAACCAGAGGACGAGGAGGGAAAGCCGGACGGGCCATGCGGCTCTTGAGGAGTTTGTTTGTCAAGAGGATTTGTTCGGTGCTTAGAGAAGTCTGAACCCACACACGCAGGCCATTCCATTTAACTCTTGCTCAGCAATCATCAACTCTCGGGGAATAGTCAAGCTTGAAAGTTAATCAAAGCCTAAGATAGACACCCAGCGGCGAATTAGAAAACAAGCTCACGCTCAGCTTCAAGCACACTGCAATTTGGTCGAAGATCACCGCCGCTTAAACGATAACAGTTTCGAGTATCCAGCTTCTGCAACCGTTGCTTCGTTGACCCGCTTCATAGGAGCTTACTAGGCATACAGCGACTCGGTATTCAAGTCATAGGATTCTTCTGACCTCATACTTTCCCATCTCTCCTTTCGCGCGTCGTCATATTTTTTTCTTCATCTTTATATGCTTCTATCCTGGGCCAGTGCTACACGTAGCGACACCAGGTCAAGTATTTTAAGAGGTATGCTTGTTGATTATCCGTTGATAAAAGGTCTTTGCGTGCTAACATAGGACAGAAGATGTGCTCGGTAATCACCACTCTTTATTATTGTGGCCATTGGGAGGGTGACAGTTTCTTCCATAGTCCAATGTGCGCAAATGTCGAACACGATACGAAACAGTCGGCTATGGTATGCAATAACTGTGGGCTCATCTCCCCACCACGCTCACCACCGCTAGGAACATAAGGCAGGAATTCGTCATGAAACCAACAGCAGAGAATGCTGACATTTGAACCTATCTGGATTCGGCCTGTGGTTGGGAGGACTGAGCATGGGGTAACTTCAGGGATCTGAGGCTCTGGGTTCCCTTTTCGTCTTCATTCTAAGAACTCCTGGGTCTAGTTGCGCATCGCTTTTAAAGCAGTCATGTCTTGAGACTTTTGAGCTGTTCAAGAGACTTAGTATAGGCCAGACTCTCATCACGGGATCTCTGAGGCTAGATACTAAAAGTCGACAAGGAGATCATAGCGATGCGGCAAGTTGATGTTCCAGTCGGCCGAAGGTTCACAAAGCTGAATGCCGTGAGAGAAAATTGTACGTCAAGTGGTATTCGTGTATCACATTGTAAATGAATATCTCAAGAATTACCCCCATACTCGAGGTCTCAATGGCCATGTCTCGGTATGACATGGCGGCGGTGGGTCCCGCCACATAGTGTTGAAACAGGCGATGTCAAGACGCCGCCTGTGCACCTGTCTAATTGTTCTATCGGGAGCGCATCAATTGCCAGACGGATAAAATCTATGTATACGTGAGAGGTCTGAAGTTTGGGGCTAGAGAAACAGAGTGGTGAGCGAGATTGTGCAGATTGGGAGCGAGGAACAATGCAATTGAAGTGAGGTGAGACTTGAGGAAGAGCCACAAGCGCGCTGCTCCCAAAGAGTCGATTTTTCAACAAACCGGCGCCGGGGCCACATGCAACAAGGAACAAGTGCACTCGCTCACTTCCCACCAAACCACCTCTTCGCCAACTCTGATTCCTGCCATCCATCAACACCAAACCGCATCACACTCGCCATTTCACACTCGTCACCGTAATTTGGACCCTGGCTGAGGTTGACTCACGCGTCTGCGCCTTGTGTACACGCCCAAAGCTCGCCAGCTGCGCCCCTGCGGCAGCGCGACAGCTCCCATCATGTCGTCTGCGCGATCCGGCGAGCGCATGATCCATCAGGACTTCATAGCTCGCATCCGATTCTCCAATGCCCTTCCTCCGCCGCCGCACCCCCCGAAGCTTCTCGACATCCCCAACACTGGCCTTGCCAGTGGCCAGTACACAACCCCGGGCTTCGCCTCACGACTCGCCAGGGAGCAGCCCTTAAACATCGAGGTCGATGCCGAGCTGGGTATGCCCCTGGACTTGGTGGGCATGCCCGGTATTTTCGATGGCGACGAGAGTAGTATGTCCAAAGCATCTCCAACGCCGCCGGCAGAGCTTGCCAGTGGCTCTTCGTCGCTCTTCTCGCTGACATTATTTCCTCTCTCCACTAGCTATCCAAGCCCCTTCACACCAACCTGCGGTCCATCCCCATGACAGAGCCTTGCTGAGGCCAATTGCCGCCCTCGGGAAGAAGAAGGTTGCAGAGGCCACAGTTTCCTTCCTTCGCCGAACCGAGTACATCTCCAACTTTGCGTCCAAGCGCCACGACGCCGGCGACCCCCGTGCGCCGCTCAACACATCCAAGAAGCCCCGTCGCGCCCCCGAACAGGCTGCCGACTCACCTGCAGCAATCAAGCGCAAGATCGACCGTGGGTTCGAGTTGGCCGAGGAGGAGCTCAAGCACCCCAAGCGTGTCAGGCATCCCACCAAGCGAAACGCCCAGCTCCTCGAGGCCGTCCCCCTCATCCCCGACCTGGACTCCTTCCCCGACTCCGGCGCCTTCGTGACCATCAAGTTCGCCACGAACCCCGTCGCAAGCTCGACGGAATACGACAAGCGCCTGCTCTCGTCGCTCTTCAGACCCATCGACAGGACCGAGGCCGAGGACCAGGCGTACGAGGCCGCCCTCGAGGCCCACCAGCAGGACCCCGACAACTACCCCAAACCGCAGAACCTGATGAACTACGAGTTCTTCCTCCCCCAGAGCAACTCGACCGGCGACAAGTTCCGCCGCAAGTTCGACGTGCAGAACCCGGACCGCGACAACGAGAACCTCTACACCCACCAGGCCGACGGCGGCGGCTGCTTCCACTTCAACCGCATCAGGGAGTACGAGACGGCCCAGGAGATAGAGCTCGACCACGGCAGCAAGTACTCGTACGAGATCCTCCTCGCCTCCTGCAGCGACGACGACTACCCCAGGCAAAAGGCCGTCTACTACTACCCCGTGCTGCAAAAGTCCACCATCCGGCCCCAGCGCACAAAGAACATTGCCCGCACCGCCGTCGGCGGCGCCGAGGACGAGCAGATCGTCGAGCGCCTCGACGTCACCGTGCAGGACCCCAACGAGCGCATGAAGGACGCCATGAACCGGTACAAGCTCAACCCGCTCAAGTGGGCGGACGAGGAGGAGGGCGAGGACCAGCGCGAGGCCAGCCAAGATGCAGAGGGCGAGGACCGGGACGCCGAAGGCGAGGAAGAGGATGATTAAACAGAACGGCCATTTCTTTTTTCAACTTAATGTATTAACTCCGGATCCATAAAAGAGGAAGAAAAATAGGTAACAAACGAGGATAACCTCCATCAGCGAAATGGGTTTTTAAAAACAAAAGCCATGGCATACGTTTCACGGTCCAGGTGGTTTTATTTTATCCTTGAGAAGGGCGATCAGGCGAAATAATTTGATTTCATTTTTTTTGGGGGGTTGTGTATCTCGTGCTTCTTTGCTACGGCTGTTTTTATTTTATTTTTCATAATTCTTGAGAAATGAATTTTGGAAGAGCGTCTCTATATATAAAGTGGCTACATTATCTTTAATAGTAGCCGTTGGTGAATGTGTTTTCGTATGTAAATGTTGGTGTGAGGGTGTGCTTGTGTCCGAGTATCATGTCAGGTCATCCATCGACCACGCGAGCTCTTCGCTTTATGTACTATTCAAACCTCCCAAAAATGTACGCCGCCGCCGTCAGTGAAGTGAAAAGGGTAGTGACAAAGAAAAAGATATGAAGAAACAAAAAAAAAACTCCGACCGAGTGGGTAAGCCCATCTTCCCAATTTCCCAAAAGATTATGCCATCTGCTCGCTATATGTGCTGAGGAACAAAACCAAATGACCAATTATAACCAAGACATTTATACAAGCTTCATTAATCTACTTGTTCGTCTTCTTCAGTTTCGAAGTCGAACTGGAAGGATCATATCCAATGATTTCCCTGTTATCATCTATTACCCGTGCATACCTATATCAGTTGTTAGTTGTAAGCTTCTAAAAATGAGGGAGGGAATAACCTACTCGAGAAGTAATCGGAAGAACCAGGCTTCCATATCCTTCTTTCGTAGCACTCGGTTTGCCCAAGTAGTGCTGGAGTTTGCGAGGTGTTCTGCATCCTCATCCCCGGCACTACTGCCTGCAAAATAGCGGACAACCTCCAGCCAGTCGTCCCCCTGCAGACTCAGGGGAACATAATGAACCCAAGGCTTGAGCCACTCATAATGCCACTCGCGGAAAAGGGCTAGCTTGTATGTCACACTATGGCTCTGGAGAAAAGCATAGAAGCGACCAGAAAAGGCGTTTCCATCAATATCAAGCAGATGCTTGTACTTCCAAGCATCTTGTTGATCAACATGATCGGTTGGGGTAAAATACTGGATTTGGGCCTCGCAGTCACCAGGATCGCATTGGCCAATGTGAGAGAAATGAACATCGATGAGGTCACGGTGCTTGCCTCGAGGGACTTCAGAAACTCGCCAGTTCGGCTGCTCCTCGTCACCCTTGTTCACCAAGATCTTGGCTTGATCAGGAGCGTTGATCTTGTGGACAAATTGCTGCCGGTGCTGTCGCCTCCAACCGCCATTGCGACTGAACCCGCCAGTAGTCGAGCCGCGCCAGTAAAGTTTGTTGTCCTTCTGTTCCCATGGGAAGTCCTTGGCCTCGTCATATACGACTTTATCGAACCAATACCAAGGCGAAGGGTACATTAAATCGGAAAATGAGGAGATCTTGGATTGCGAAAATATGGGGAATAAATCATGGACGACGTTGAAAGCGTTGGGCCTGTCAAAGAAGCCATACGACGAGCTCAATGACGGACTCAGGCAGATATCAGCCATGGCCGTGGAGTTGTATACGAACCCAAGCTCGCTGTAGCCATATCTGCTGCGGTCGTCTCCTTGCTCGTCGTCATCGGGGGTCTTGGCTGGGCTGTCGGCTGGGCAAGACATGCGCGAGTTGGTCCAGGTAGACTGGTGAGCGAAAACGTTGAATCGGGTGCGCTTGACCTCGTCAAACATATACCCATCGCTCAGCTCCGGCGCCCGTGGGCTAAAGTCGTTGATGGGCCTCTTCTTCGCATTGGCGGCTGGCATGTTGGTGTTCTTGGCCTTGTTGACAAGATGCGCAAGGTCTTCGTGTGAAAGAACAACACGGGGCTCATCGTGGATGTTGAACGCCAAATCCATGTCGGGTATATATTCAATAAACTTCTCAATCATAGACTGTGTAGCGTTTTGTTGCCACTCTTGGCCGCCCTCGACAAGAGTGATTTCGTGGTTGCGGATTGAAATTCCCAAAAGAGCATTGTCGAACCCAAGAGCCTCCTTGGCTCTTTTCCGAATCGTCTCTGGCTTCAATCCCCAAAAGGGTGTGATTAGCTGGTGGATTGTGTCGAACTCATCCACGAGCTGCACATCATTATCGGTGGCGAATTTGAACCATTTGTCGAAATTAGGGGGCGGTGGCATCTCATATCGCCTGCGATACTCTGCAACAGCTTCTTCCAGCGTCTTGGACTGTCGACCTCTGATGTCTCTGAACTCGCGCCTGGCTTCGGTAATGAGGTGGGAAATGGGGTGCAAGCTCGTGTCTTCGACTTTGAGGGGTCCTGGGCCAGCCTTGGTTTTTGGCCGCTCGCTAACCTCCCATTTGGGTGGCCTCAGGAGCTCCTCCTCATCAGGGTTTTTATCATTGTCGCCGTTCTCGTGCTCATGCGTATGGTCGTCGTCGTCGGCTGGGCTATTCTGATTATCGAGGCGATCGTTTTTGGGCCGTGAAGAGCCACTGGGAGGCTCAGGGTGTGTGGGAGGTGGAGGATGGTGTGGTGGTCGAGGTTCAGGGCCGGGTCTCTGTTGTTCAGGACCAGGCCCGCCGGGTCCAGGAGCTGGGGAGTCTGCTTTTAGTGGCACCTCTGGCTGCTGCTGCAATGCAATATCCTGATGTTGCGCACCCTTCTCCCCCGTCAGTCCATCTTGCGCTGGAGCCCCGGGGGGTGGCGGCGGTGGTGGTTGTGGAGGAGGTGGTGGTCCCTCCCTCGAAGGCTGCCGCAAGGACCCTGTGTTGCGGACGGGGAGATAGTATTCGCGTTCGGTCGCCAGGCACAGGAGAGAATAGGCGCAGAAGCCGAGTGAGAACAATCCTAAGAAGACCAAGATCTTCCGCCGCCGCAGCATCGTTGAGGCGATCATTGAGGCGACGGAGGGGAGGAGGAGAGGTGGAGGCGGGTTGAGGGCGTGGGCGCAGAGGTGGAAGTAGTCGAGCAAGTGGCCCTCGTCTAAAAATCAGAGCTAGATGGCGGCCTAAGACGTTGGTGGCAGCATCGGACAAGGAAACGCAAAGATTGGACGAAACGGAAGCATTCTAGGGGAGCAAGGAAATTCGTCACAAAGGAAAGGCCAGGAGGATGCAGGAACAGAACAGCACGGCGTTGGTTGATCGATTGTGAACACCCATCACATTACTGACTGTCTTGCCATCTTGTTGCGTTTTCAACTGTGGGCCTTGTTCCCTACCTGAGGGAAAGCGGCAAGGAAAGGAGGGCGACTTGCCTGCGCAAGCAGGTGGATACCATTAATTTCATACCGCCCAACCCAAGTACCGCTCGCTGTTGGTGCTCTCCAGGGCCCCTCGACCCAGCCGGACTGCGCATGCAATCCAGCTCCCTCCCGTTCCCTGCGCTCGCTGCATTGCCACACGGCGAGCACAGAGGCGACAGCCAGAGAGCAGCCAAGAGAACCAAGAGAGCCTCCTCCATACGAGTCGTCAGCAGCCTTCCCTGTCCATACGTCACGGAACACAGAGGGTGGGACCAGCACCTCGCCTCTGCATCGCACTAAAAAGCTTAGAAACCTGCCTATCCCTGATGCCGCCTCTACCTAGCAGCTACCGTGGCACTACTACCATCCTTGAGCTTGAGAATCTAGGTTTGGTGGCTGCCGAACCCGTTCAGTTCCCTCTCTGGAGCTAATCATTAGAATTAGAATTTGTCCAGAACCCGGTCGCAGGAACAGACAGGCACAGGCATGTTCGTCGACGTAGCAGCCATCCTAGCGAGTTTCCCAGGAAGAGAAGGATTGCCGGTGCAGGTTTAGCGGGAGAGCTGCTTTTACCGTCTCCTGACCTGGATGCAGCCGTTGGGGGAACGGAGGCAGGGATGAATCTCAAAACAGCGGACGTAAGATACTGCCCCATTAGTTGGATCGTTTCCTCCACTCTCTCCAACGCCCTCTGCCTGTTCTGTCTACAGAATTTGCACTTTAGTTGGGGTAGTAATAGTCTCACCAAAAGGTTATCACGTCAATGTCGGGATTGGTCTGGGTTTTAGATTAACGACCGTGCAATGAATTCCTGCAAGATTTAGATACATTCCTCAGCACCTTCATTTACGAGTAGGCAGACAATTGCCCCGGATTAGGTGCTTGAACATATGACAAGAGGTGGCTTTCAGGGCGCCTGAATCAATACTTGCAAACAGGCATGTGAGCAACACAGCATGTGTATTTTCGATTTCGAGGCCCAGAGGACGGTCCTTGGAAGAGGGACGGGTCAACCACGTTCACTCTGATGGACCATGTGTTGGATGAGGCCTGATGGAGTGATGCTAAGTGGACCTGGACGTCGGTACTTGGCTGAGCTGTGATGTAGACTGGAGACTAAAATGACTGTGCAAAAAGATTGCAATGCAGCGGCGGGCGGTTGCTATCTGTTAGGTTTGCCGCGGCTGTCGCGCATCGGCAGTGCGCCATATTGCATACCAAACACACAAGCAGTAGGATTTGATTGGATCAAGGGGATATGGACGTCTTGCTGTGTGGGTTTGCATCCCGTCGGTACGGCTCCCATCGATTGATATGCTGCGGAGTCACAACGACTAAACGGCTGTTTGCCTACCTCTGCTCAAAGGCTCATGTTTAATCGTGGCTTTGCTTATTCCTATGACGATTTCCGACAGCGAGAGGGATACCTTCGCTAGAAGTACAACAACAGAGAGTATACGTGACCAGCCATACTTTATATTCAATGCTCAGCCGGATTCCCAATGTTGGTGATGGTTTGCCTTGGATCTTGCATTGGTATCAAGTTGTTCTAATCCAGTGTTCAATATCCAACCGACGTTGCATGCTAATCCCTACATACAAATGTTGGTTCAGGCAACAGCTTGGAAGATGGTGCGTAGAAATACATACACACAGCAGCTCGCAACAAATTACTTGATAGGGGAATAAGATTGCCAGGAAATGCAATGTTGGTTGGCCTCTGCCTGCGTAGCGAACACAGGGCCCCGTGTGTGCAGTCTCATTTTCAAGAGCCTACAACAAGTTGTATAGTCTCCTCAGCCGCAAGCCTGTCTAGGAACATGCCCACGACCGAGACTCAATATTATCATGCTCAAGGCCAAGCTCGCCCATCAAAGAACCCATTCAATCAGCCCACGGGGGATAAGTACTAAGACTTATACGGCGCAGCCGTGACAACCTCGACTAAGTCTGACTAACTGATGCATAAATCACAGGTATGAGACTTTCCTCTGGATACCGCTCAGCCATCGTCGTATACCCAACGTCTTGATTTGCGGCCTCTTCTGGATAGCGCATCCATAATACCGCGTCTTCATGCACTAGCATTTGTAAATGTGAGACAACGCTACCTGGGATATCGTGTAGGCAGGCTTTGATCCTGTATCGGTAAGAGACATTGAGGTGGACCAACCGTTGAAAACCACTCTCGGGATTTATACGTTCCTTACGCGCATCCTGTGCCAAGAGAAGCCGATCTTGCACAGAGGGGAATCAAGGCGTTAGCTCGCTCGTTGGATCGCCTCACGGGGCTCAGGCTTCAGCGGTAGTTTAGCCCCCATCTTGACAGAGCGGTCAGAGAATTGGAGAGATTAGGAACTGGTCAGCGCCCGATCCTACTCCTCTTCGAGAACGGAATGCAACAATAAACTCATCTAAACATTTCATGGGGACGGCAAAGATAACAACGAGCTCCAGGGAAGAGATGCAAATTACGGAGCACCCACGGCGGTAGTTCATAAGAACCATGCGGATGTACATAGTAAAATGCCAAAATGCAACATGACCCCTTCTGCAAGCCAGGTTATGGACGCATGGGATCGTCTTTTACTGCAGTGTTTGTTTCACATCGCACCGACTCCCTGCAGCTGCTTTCCAGGCAGATCTTGAGGCCTCATAGCACGACCGTATCGCCTTAGACGAACAACCGTTTAGCCCAAGGAGGGAGCCACAGCTAATAAGGAACATTCGACAAAAATCCTCATGGCCTCAGCTCCGTCCTGCAGGCGGAATTAAAGCCTCACCTTTCTAGCCACGCCTTGCGGTGGTAAGAGGCAACCCATATCTTTCCATTGGCTGGGCGGGTTGAGCCTCTAGCAGGGGCCCGCTAATTACACCACTGGTGCAGCGCACAATTTTAGGTAAAAGGGGGTGGTAGCTGCGATTTTCGTTGGATCGAGGAGCTGCCCGCAGAAAACCGCCATGGTTCCTGATTGACGAAATGAATATCTGCAGCAATCCCAGCCTCGATGGATCTGCAAAAGCGGCGCCGCCCAGGGACCGCCGATTATCAGTGCTCTTGCAGAGGATTAGTGCCGGTGCGCCATCGCAGCTCGTCTAGGAAGGTGAGTGATACCGCCGACCAGCATTTTTGCTTCCAACGTCGGCCGATAGGTGGGGTGCGGCGAGCGAGTGACCGCAGCGGCCACCAACACACGGGGAGCAAAACCGGAATCTGTGCCGTCATTACGGCGTGCCGAACATCATCTGCCTACCTACCTACATACAGCAATGCAGGAAAAGAAAAATCTGCCTACGTAGTGACATACGTACTATGCAACGAGGAATGAAGGCGTCATAACCCCTGCACGGCCTGGCAATTTTGCGAAAACTGGGTTACAGTGTTTGTACTGTCGAGTTATTAACTTCAGGTACCAGTTGTCTCCAGAGAATATGACTGTCCCTGTCCCTGTTCAGCTCACTTTGATGCGCCGGAGCGGCAGCACTATCACATCACACGAACAATCTACGAGTTGGTGTCTTTCTCATAAAATTTAGGGCATCTGGCAAAGGTTCCATTGAATTCGCCCAGATGTGCGACTATCCCGTGACTCTAAAAAAAGTACTTTTTGTTTGCCATGGGCATGGTGTTTCCCAAAACGCCGAGCATGCCTGTCATGAAATGTTCATTCATTTTTTGTTACTTTCCCCTATTACCCAACACGACTGCAAGTGTCTAGTAGAAGAATCCAATGATCTTGCCAGCAACGTGCTTGCGACGGGCCTCCTCGTGGTCCATGATACCGGCGGAGGTGGTCAGGACGACGTAACCAAACTGACGGGCGGGGAGCAGCTTGACAACCCACTTCTCGAGGTCAGAGAGACGGACGTTGTAGCGGGGAGAGATGACACCGGTCTTGTTGAGACGGCCGTTGAGCTGAACGATGATCTTGCCAGAGCGATGATCGTCCACCTCTTCAAACTCCCCGATGTAGCCTATAAAGCAAGGAATGAGCTTTTTATGTTGCGAGAGACTAAACGTTAAACGTCATGGGTGTTTTTGAAAGCAAAAAATTCAGAGAAACGTGTAAGATCTCCGCAGAAATTCAATCTATCGGCAATTTATAGGGGCTGGGCCGTGGATGCGAATCGACCGTCGCCCTAGTTATCATGCCGAAGTAATAAAAGAGGAAACAGGAAGGGAAAGTAAAGAACAAAGGGGGACCCATGACGTCCAACGAAGTTAGTTGTTCCAGTGTGTGACGTACCGTGGCGCTGCATGACCTGGAGGAACTTGATGATGACCTTGGAGGAAGGTCGGATCAGAACCTGGCGCTTGCCGGTCTTCTCGGCGTTGTTGATGTTGTTGAGAGCATCGTGGAGGACGGAAGTGCGAACCATTTTGGCGGTTGTGAAGAGGAGATTCTCAAATCAAGTGGGATATGAGGTATCTGCCAGGAAGAGTTCTACGTTAGCCTCTCGGGCCTGTGAGCGAGAAGAGTGCCCTCAGCGATCGGTCGAGGAGGGTTCTGCCGCCCAGTGCTGAAGAGGAGAAGCGTATCTCGAGCCATTGCCGGCCCAGGTGACTCTCCGACGAAACGGCGATATACACCCATTGGAGTCTCAACGCTCGAGATTGCTCTCCCTAGCCACGATGCAAGGCATTATCTTCCAGATCCGAATCGCCGTGGGCGATTCAATAGCAAACATGCCACTTACCTCGAGGAAAAGGTGATGCGTTGTTGGGATGTCAAGTGGACGAGAGGAAATTCCAGGCGAAGTCGAAAAATCAGCTCGCAATTCCCACACGCGCCGAAAGGTGGGCCGCACGAAAAGTTGGTGTGCCCTGGTGGTCCGTGCACGACAAAATGCCCTAATGGGGGGCGCACTGCGCTCGCTTGCATTTTCGGCAAATCCCCGTGTCCCGGACCCGACATTGTTCTAGATCATCCACGAACTGCAACTTCATTTCCAACTTTCCTTTTCCATATCATATTAAATTTCTAGTTGACTCTTCGAGGATCGCCCGACGAGAAAAATTAGCAAGATGGTGAGTATCCCGATGCTGCCGCCCCTCAATCGCGACCGTTCACGGTAGCCAGATGCTTGGTTCTGCGCATGTCGCGAATTTGGAGATTTGAGGAAGCGGAACGTCACCCAAAGGACTTTGCGACTGACAATGCTTTCTCTCGACAGTCGGACGTAGAAGACAACACCCCCGAGGTCGTCGAGGAGGTCGAGGTTTCCGGTGATGCCCCCAAAGGTCAGATGTCCGTCCTGGACGCCCTCAAGGGTGTTCTGAAGCTCGCCCTCATCCACGATGGTCTCGCCCGTGGTCTCCGTGAAGCCTCCAAGGCTCTCGACCGTCGCCAAGCCCACATGTGCGTCCTCAACGAGAACTGCGAGGAGGAGGCCTACAAGAAGCTCGTCATTGCCCTGTGCTCAGAGCATAAGATTCCTCTGATCAAGGTGCCCGATGGCAAGCAGCTCGGAGAGTGGGCTGGTCTCTGTACGTTTTTGCCCCTCTTGTTCTATGAACGGGTCCATCGAAGATATACGGCACAGAACTAACACGAATAATCCAGGTGTCCTCGACCGTGAGGGTAACGCCCGCAAGGTTGTCAACTGCTCTTGCGTCGTTGTCAAGGACTGGGGTGAGGAGTCCCAGGAGCGCTCCATCCTCCTCAACTACTTCCAGACCGAGCAATAAGTGCGACATGGGTGACGGCGTTGATGCGAAGGGAGGATTAGAGGCGTGGGATCTGAATTCAGATACCACAGGAACCGAATCACTTGGTTGTGCTCTTACATCACTTCAGTTGATAGGCCATCGGCACATGGACGGGAATACAAAAAAAAGTTTATCTTTCCAGATCGAACTGGACATCATTTTCACGTTTACCCTGGCATGACTCTCTACTTTCGTCCTTCCACCTAAAGCACCGTTGTAAACAACCCGCCGGTATCTGTAGATGAAACAACGGAAACTTACCATGATGATGTGATACCCGAACTCTGTCTTGACCTCGGCAAATTTCGGGCTGCTTGTAGAACTAGGTTCCAGAGCAAAGGCAACCTCTTCAAATTTGGGATCCAAGCTCCCTTTTGTCTTCCAGCCCAATGAGCCTCCTGCCATCACAGTTAACACCAGATTACGGCGCTCCCTCTCAGCTACTCCAGCCTACCTTGTCTGGCCTTGTCCTCGGAGAAGGTCCTTGCGACCTCATCAAACTTGACGCCTTCGTTCAATTTCGCCAATGCCTCCTCCTTTCTGGCGTGCTTCTCACACTGGTTCGTCCACACGTTAGCCGACGAGATGTGTAGGGGCTGGCAGCCGAAGGCGATGAGACTCACCAAGATGTGTCGGACATTGATCGACTGTGCGCCCTTGGTTTTGCCTCCGCCCTCACTGCTGTCTCCGCCACCTTTTCCCTTGCCGCTGCCTTTCTTATCGTTTTTGCCCATTTTCGTTTGTGAGATTATGCCCGGGATTCGTTGTGATGTTGTATGGAGATGAAAAGTTGGCCGTATGCCCCGCCAACACCAAGAAGGCGGATTACTGTCACACTCACTGCCCCTCCTTTGTAGCTTCCCCATACATCAATTTATGAAAATGCTTCCTTCATCCGGCATTGCCAATCAATAACAGACAATTTACTAAATCAGTATCGTCACTTGTAATTTTTATTCATAGTTTTAAAATATTTTGGTTCTCTTGCGAAGCCATTTCTAGGTGGTAGGTTTCCTAAGGCATGTCTAGTTTTGCCCATGTTCAGCACAGATGAAGATGTACTTCATCGCTCCCACTTGAGATCTGCAAGTTTATGGACGAATTTCAGCTCCTCCATGTTCTCCGAGTCTAGGATATCTTCGTCCCTCATCTTCTGGATGACCTTCATCGACTCAAGCTGGACCATTTCCTGGAATTGCTCCTGGTCGGCTCTCTTCTGGGCCCTCTCCCGCTTCCACTCCAGATGCCTCTCGTCGTCCCATTTCTTCTTGAGGATGTCACTCTCAAGCTTCTCAAACAGATTCCAATCATCGATATCCGATGGCCTCGGCGATTGACAGATTTCGTGCATTGGTGTTTGCCCTGCAACGCGCTCCAGGTCGATGCTTAGACGAAACACTCCGGTGAGCTGGTTGCGGCTCTGCCCGTACCGGCGGATGAAGTACCTACAGGGCACGGGTCAGTCAAGGATCAAATACTACCATGATTGGCCTTGGAAGTCTCCAGGGATCATACTGCCCATCGTACCGCACACCAGCCTTTGGTGCAAAGGGACTTTTAAGTAGGTGGCCCCGGAGAATGCGGATCTTGGTGCCAACCTGGGATATGAGCGCCACACACATGTCCCTCATCGTTCCCTCTCTCACATACTTCGCGGTGCCTGCAGGCCATTGTACTATCTCGGTTCCTGTGAGCAAAGGCACCGTGACGATGCCGTATCTACCCTTGGACACGGACTCGGAGGAGCAGCAAACAATTCCGTCCCGTTGGGCGCAGGCCAGGTTTAACCACCAGCTATACCCCAATGATTAACAGTTGATTCAACCTTTGTGCGTTCATTCCCTGCCGTTTTCCCTTCAATCCGGGGCGGTATGTGTGCGTGTATGAGACTTACTGTCCTTCCTTGATTTCAGTGTTTCCTTCAACTTCAGAGAGTGCCTCCCCCCCTTGAGCAGTCCACTGGCATGCTTCTCCACACTTTGCATCGTCAAAATAGACGTTCTCCAACCTTCCATTCCTCTGTGTCAGCCCATGGTATCGAGAATTGTCCAGTCCCAGATACCCATCCCGTAGCCTCATTCTCCAATGTCTCTGAAGGCTGTCAGCTATCGACAGGCAGGCCCGTGAATCTGGAGTCATGTGTTCGAGGTGGCGGGTCTTGTCATGGATATCGGCAAGCAGCTTGTCTAAACGTGTTGCTCGGATGAGTTTGAGGTCAAGGATAGGCGCTCCATCGTATTCGCTCTTGATGACGGCGCCCAATAGCCGCATGAGAACCTCGCCCCTCGGTCCGAGACAAGCATCTTCCTGGAGGCTAGTCCGGACGTCGTTGCAAAGGTCCAGCAGGGCATATTGATTGATCGCGATTTCTCCCCTGTTTTCTGTGTCCAGCGATTCTTCTGGCAAAGGAGCTTTCAAGGAAAGATGTCAGCAGCATGTTGGTGGTACACAAAGGAGGAGAAATCTCTCATTCTTGCCAAGTCAACTCACCTTTGGGGTCATTGTATGGCTCAAATGTATTCAAATCTTCCCTCCGGTCGGGCTGCTTCCCTCTGGTTGGTGGATATATTTGCAACGCCATGAGAAGCTCTCAGGTGCAGTAGAAGCATGTGCTGGGTACGAAATCTGGCCATGCTCATGGGAGTTCAAACGAACGAGGGGTCCCAACGTAATATAAGTGCGTTTGGTTATGCATAGTAGTACAATTTTCAAGCAAGAGACCGGACAAAATTCGATCAACTAGTAGATACAAGATAGAAGAGGGGATGAGAGTTGCTACAGAAAAAAGAGTACCAGTTGTGAGACGTCGGATGCTGGTTCGTTTGCGTACCACCTTGTGCTAGTAGGGGATAGGTGATGTTTGTCGGCAGATGGTACACCCAAACAACGGTTAATGCAACCATCCAGTTCGGTTTTTATATTTAGGAGCTCTTCAATGGAAACCTTGTTGGCCTGGTTCTTTTACGACAGTGCAGGCGTAGAGAACTTATACGGAAGTAGCTCGGCGAGCAAAGGGGCAACTACGCCTAACTTCTCCTATATTTCGGTACAGATGGGCCTGCAGGCATGGCTGGTTCAATTCTATCATTCGCGGCGGAATCACAAACCAGATAGAACTTCTCTCAATAAAAACAAGTACTCGTCCAGCGTGAGACTTCTTATAAGTGACTTATACGACACTATACCTACTCTAATTTGAGGTATAGGCTTAATGGTCCGTTCGAAATGTGCTCGGGGGACAGCACGACTGGTTGTTTACACAGCAGTGCCTGTGCAGTTGTGCTACTGGCGTCAAAAAGTGCAGCAGATCATCCAAGCTATCTTCGAATCAAGACAGGAAGAAAACCTGCTTCCAGGGCCATTTTTCGGAGTGTGGACAGTGTATATATTCTAACTCTTGTATAATTGATACATCTTTCTTCTTGGAGCGAAGTTATCAGATAATACAGCAATGGTCATAATCCCAGCGATCTACAATATGTAATACACGACAATGTACAACGGCAACACACCTCGCCCCCTGTGCTTCTACCCTTGTGCCGCCTCATCCAGTCCACTCCTCAGCCAGTCGGGTACAAAGGCTTTTACCTTAACCCCGCTCTTATCGCCATCTTCGCCCCATTCAAGCTGGAACTCGTGGTCCGGCTGGAAGGACGCAGCGGCAACCTCACCTGGTAGGGTAATGTCGGTCATGATCTCCAGACGGCACAAACCCAGGCCGATATTCCCCACACCCTTCAACCACTTCCCTGCGCTCCGCCCTCGCTTCCCAATGCGTCCAATGCTCGTATCCCGGGGCACCAGGTCCGCTGTTGGCGTTGAGGCTCCGCTCTCACCACCGGCCTGGGGAATGTACTGCAGACTGGTAGGCATAGGCTCGGACTTGTCGTATATCACACAGGGAAGAATGCGCTTCCGTACGACACCACGGTGCTTGGTGCGGATCGTGAGCTCCTGGCCAATGTAGCAGCCCTTGCGGAAATCAATCCCGTTCATGTAATCCATGTTACTTTCCTGTGGCAGAGCCGTCTCTCGTAGAATCTCATCCTGTCCCTCCGCCACGCCATTCAGATACCGCCGTATCGTATACGCATCCTCTGTCGTTTCGTCCAAGTCCACCTCGGGCTTGTGCTGCCCAGACTGCAGGATACGGTACCCAAAACCCGGAGCTCGGACGTCCTTGAGGAGAATATTGGGATTGGCGCTCGTCGAGGCGAGCTGCAGGTCGGAACTGGAGGCTTCGTCCCACGCCTGCCACACATTGACCTCGTCCGGCAGGACCTTGCGCACAGTCACCTTGGCCCGAAGCTTGTATCGCTTCACGAACCTTGCCAGCGAGTCGGCGTGATTGGCATCCACCTCAATCAGGAAGGCATTTTCCTCCTGGACGCCCGCCAGCTGTTTTGTATTGGGATATATATAGAGATCGTGCAGGACCCTCCCGGTAGCGGTTAGGAACCCGGCATAGAACCCGTCGGTTCTGGGAAGGCCGTCCTTTTCCACCACATTGGCAGTTACGAGTCCCTGCAAAAACTTGGCGGCGTCCGGGCCGGCGACGGAGAGGAGCTGTCGCGATGCCAATGGCGCAATGCCTACCCGCGGGGGTATCGGCGTGGGTGCCGTCGAGCTCGAGAAGGATCTGATCTGGCGTCGGCAGTTGACACAGGTTCGACTGGGCGGGACAGCGCACCGAACGGCGCGTGCTGCTGGGGCTGCGGCTCTCATGTTGAGCCCAGCTTCACTGACGCGAGAGGAGACAAAATTAAGATATCACGTGGTGGGATGGAGGGCCATACGAGGGGAGCTTCCTAGGCCAAAAAAAAAACCAGGCCCCGTCCCTTGCGATGATGACAATTGCAGTCAACCAGCGGGTTCTAGAGAAAAGTGGCTCGCATTCGGATCTTCCCCACAGCAGCTTCCCCCATACTTTGCTGTTGTCCAGGGTAGTTAGGTTTACAAGTAATCATGGTATCATGGTG